AGCGACGGTAAAATGTGCTATTAGAAACAAGACAAAATGTATGTCAGGTTGACTACAATCGAGTATCGTCGAAAGAGAATAGAGTTTTACACGTAAAGTAACCCAAAAAAGTCGTAATAAAATGATTTTTTTCCTTTTTTTTGACTGCAGTAGTCTAAATATAAAAGATGTTTGCTAAATTTTTTCTGACCTAACACTTTTTATTTATAAGTAAACGCTTTAAAATTTAAAAGAAAACGTTTTATAGGTTTTGTTATAAGGTACTTCGTAAGATATCTGATAGATTACAACTATTATTAAATCTAGAAAGCAGCAAAATCTTTTCTTAAAAATATTTAAAAATTTTCAGCGACGGTAAAATTTGCTATTAGAAACAAGACAGAATGGATGTCAGGTTGACTACAATCGAGTTTCGTCGAAAGAGAATAAAATTCTACACGTAAAGTAACCAAAAAAAGTTGTATTAAAATAATTTTTTTCTTTTCTTCGACTGCAGTAGTCTAAATATAAATAATGTTTTCTCTATTTTTTCGGACCTAACACTTTTTATTTATAAGTAAACGCTTTAAAATTTGAAAGAAAACGTTTTACAGAATTTGTTATATAACCCTTCTTTAGAAATCTGATGGTTTTCAATTATTATTTAATCCAAAAGGCAGCAATAATTTCTTTTAAATATATTGAAAAGTATTTAGCAACTGTAAAAATGTGCTATTAGAAACAAGACAGAAGGGATGTCAGGTTGACTACAATCGAGTTTCGTCGAAAGAGAATAGAATTCTACACGTAAAGTAACCAGAAAAAGTTGTAATAAAATAATTTTTTTTCTTTTCTTAGACTGCAGTTGTTAAAAAGTAAATGATATTTGCTAGATTTTATTAGACATTACACTTTTTCTTTATAAGTATACGCTTTAAAGCTTGAAAGAAAACGTTTCATAACTTTTGTTATATAGCATTTCTTTAGATATCTTATAGATTTCAACTATTATTAATTCTAGAAAGCAACGAAAATTTTTCTTAAATATATTGAAAATTTTTTAGCGACGAAAAAATGTGATGTTAGAAACAAGACAGAATGGATGTCAGGTTTACTACAATCGAGTTTCATTAAAAAAGAATTGAATTCTTTACGTAAAATAACTTTAAAATGTTGTAATAAAATGATTTTTTCTTTTTCTCCGACTACAGTTCTGGAAAAGTAAATGATATCATCCAAAATTTATTTGACATAACACTTTTTACTTATTAGTATACGCTTTAAAACTTGAAAGAAAATGTTTTATAGCTTTTTTATATAGCATTTCTTTGGATATCTGATAGTTTGGAACTACAATTAAATTTAGAAACTAGCGAAAATATCTTTCCAAATATATTTCAACATTTTTAGAGACGGTAGAAATTTGCTACTAGAAACAAAACAAAATAAATGTCAGGTTTACTACAATCGAGTTTCGTAGAAAAAGAATTGTATTCTTCACGTTAAGTAACCAAAAAATGTTGTAATAAAATGATTTTCTTCATTTTTTTGGACTGCAGTTGTTGAA